TCACACCAGAGACAACTGCAAAGTCATCCGAGGTCCCTCCACTCAGCTGCACCCGCGCTCGCATACCACTGTGCAGACATTCAATTAAACACACAAACTTACGCGGGCAACCAAACCTACACAACACCAGCCACAATGTCTCGCGGTTCACCGTATCATACGCCTTGGTGAAATCAACAAAAAACGAGTACAACGGCTGGTGTCGTTCTCCGCACTTCTCTTGCAACTGACGAGCCGCAAACACCATATCTATAGTGCTGCGACCCGAACGCAATCAACATTGCTCTTCCGCCACGTTAGGTTCCACAACCTGACTCACGAGGCGGTTGAACAGGACTCGGACAATCACCTTGCCCACACAACTCAGCAAGTTGATGTCACGATAATTCGTGCCACATTGTTTGCTCCCTTCTCCCTTGTACAGTGGTAGCACAAGGGCATCCTTCAGCTCAGAAGGCACCTCCTCCTCAATCCATATGCGTTGCACCAAGTGGTGCAGCGCAGTCACCAACGCAGATCCGCCGTGTTTCAATATTTTAGGCGGGATCCCACCGACACCGCCACACTTTTCGTTCCGCAGCTGAGGAAGTTCTCTCTGCGTCTCATCCAGTGTCGGTGCATCCGCCAGACTCGCCTTCACATCGTGCCGCTTGAGGCCGTTCAATGTAGGCCAGTCAATCTCTGAACGGTTGTTCAAGAGACAGTCAAAGTGTTTTCGCCAGATCTGCATTATGTCTGCAGTCTGCGTGCAGGTAGCGCCTGAACTGCCATTGACCAGCGTCCTCAACGGCTCCAATCTCGATCCATACACCGCCGTCAAGGAGTGAAAGAATTCCTTGTGTTGGCGGTATTCGGCGTAGCATTCCATCTGTCTCGCCTTCTTCGTCCACCATGCATTTTTAATGTGACGGAGCTCTCGGGTCAGTCGCTGTCGAAGTTCGAGAAACGGATTATTCTTCCCCAAGTCACTGGGGTCTGCCGCAAGTACAGCTAATGCTGTATTATTCTTCGACACCAATGCGCCGATCGTGGCATTGTTGTCATCAAACCATTCAGGCCACTTACAGCTTGCGCGCCCGATGGTCTCCTCGGCAGCAGCTGTCACTTGGTCGCGAATGTCGTGCCACAGGTCGCCCACTGTGGCTATGCGGTCCACATCACACAGGCGTGCAGCCATCGCCTTCTCCAGCTCAGTACGTTTCGCCCAAGTACTGAGGGAGAGAATGTTAAATTTACGCCGATTCACGGCAGTAGTGCAATACATAGATTTACGGAAATATATCTACGGTTTGGTCCGCACCAATTTGTGATCAGTGCCACACTCAGCTCCACGCAGTACACGTGTCATGCGCACTTCACGCATATCACGCTGGCGTACGATGACATAGTCGAGCAGGTGACCGTGACCACTCCGCGGGTGCGTCCAAGTTGCTATAGCACTCGCATTCAGTGCAAACCGAGTGTTCGTGATCGTCAGGCCGTGAGTGGCACATAGTGAGAGCAGCCACAATGAATAACCGCTAACGTTGCCAATTGCAGTTTGGACATGTTCAACGTTTATACTACCTTGGTTGACGTGACGCCGATTCCACTTTCTTAGGATGAAAGATGGTAAACTGCCTACATGCTGGAGGGCGAGCAGATTTCATGGTTTTCTAATTTATGATCGGATGTTATTTCGCAAGCCTCTGTATGAGACACCTGTGATTTTCGTCAACCGCGGGATCCCAATCTCGAGCTGGTACAATCAGTGTCCACTGAGGATTTGCTTTCCGCTCTTCAACTGATAGAAAGAGCTGCACCCAGTGTCGATCGCATTACTCCGAAAGAGGTAGTCCGGATGAACCCTGTTTTTGTCACTTCCCTTTTAACTGTCTTCTTAAATCTTCTCCACACCGGCTCCACATGAGCGTTGCCTGGATTATCTTTGTATCCAAGATTTCCAATCGAGAACACTTTCGACCCTTTTTTGTGACCTCTGTCTTCATCCGCCTGATTCACCAGATTTTCTTCTATATGTGGGTTATACCTTTTCTTGTGGATTATCTCCAATTTGGATTTCTTTGTAAGGATGGCTGTTTTGAAGACCTGACTATTTTTCCGCAGTGCTCTGTTCTCACGTGAATCTTACGTCTTTGCCCTTTGCTACCTACTGATATATCCGAAGCTATGGACTCCGTTTCCCACGATTATTTACTCCGAGCAGCATCCACTTTTGGCGCTCCATAGTTTCCATTATGTGGTTTTGCTATTATGCCTCCGCTGTTTCCAATTTCAACAGGATCAGTATTTATCCACGGAGAAGTGTTCGACAATGGGACACGCTTTTTCCATTGCCCTTCATCATGACTTTGGAAGATGACTTTCATAAACCTGGATTATCTCAGCAGCATTGTTGTGCTGGCCCTAAAGACTACCTGGCTTATGCTGGCGAGGCGATCATCTCTGCCCGGGACCGGAAGGCCTTAGTTAACACTCAAGACGCTCCAAAAAGACTTCAGTCACACTGATCTCATCTAGCCAAATTAAGTCGACTACACCCATCTTCACTTTCATGGTCCTCGATCAACATACAATCGTCTCAACCGGACGAATCGTTCAGTTATCTCGGCCTTCCGTTCAAATGGGAAGGCAAATTATTGCCTTCATCCCTAGAACAAATACGCTCTCAGCTTCAGGAGACCACTCGAGCTCCACCGAAACCATACAAGCGATTCGAAATGGTTCGCAGTTTCTTACCACCCTGTCACATTCAAAACCTCTCTGGCGGAAGCACATCGCTATATCTTAAAAAATTTGGATAAATTAGTTCGCTCTCATGTACCCAAATTGCTGCGGCTCCCAGCGGATACACCTGTTGCTTATTTTCCATCTGCTATCGAAGAATTCAGTTTGGAGCGCGTCATCCTACAATCAGTTGGGCGATCCGCGATCCATCTGCGGCCCCTATCCATCGCATTGCCACATTTCCTGTCTTTGTGTCCGAATAGCCCGCCCTAGACAAGGATTCTGCAAAGAAGGCTCGGAGAACAGCGTCTTCATATTATACCGATCGTTCCCCGCTCCGGAACAGTACAACGGTACTTTCAACTCACCAATGGCAAAGACAACCGGCCAACATCTCCCCTCGGCTATTCATGCGGGAAATTAAGCTGCAAACAGGGGCCGTCTCAACGAAGACGCCGAGCTAGAAGCAGATCATCTCCCTTTATCGCTGTGGAGCTTTACAAGGAAACACTCACACGTCCCTCAGTAATGTTGTGACACACAAGATACTCGCTGTAAAAGGCATAACGACATCGCGAAACAGATTGTGATTGCAATCAGCCGTCGGGGAATTCAGATTACACTCGAACTCAGAATACCCACTAGGAGCTCCTTTATCAAACCTGACCCGCTCGCTGCCAAGATGACTGCGGCATATGTTATGAACCTTGCCATCCGCGACGCAGACCGCATGGGACGAATCTACAAACAGAAACTAGAAAAATATGGTGTCGGTCTACATGCAGAAGCGATCTCCACAAATGTGAGGTCACACTTTTCGCAGGCGTCGAACATTATCTACAATCACGTGATCGTGAACACCCGAGGATTTACTTGTCCTGCTACAGCGAGACATCTCAAATCCTCGGGTGTTTCACGGTTCGACATTTCGGATCTGTGTGTCTCCACTATTCGCAGGACACAGCGTGGATGACACACATATGCGCGGAGCCTCCTCACTATAGCCAACAAACAACACACTAACCAACTTGGTGTACAGTTCCGCCCGGTTTACAAATTTTGTTATTCCGGATTGGAAATTTACTGTCAACCTCGACCTTTGGCTATGCACATAAATTATCAACAACAAATGCTGTTAGTACGCGTAATGCGAAAACTGGAACTACCTTTTTGAATCTGCGACATCTGTGGTGTCAAGGAGTTTATTTTCGTCTGAGAAGCCGTGTGTACAAGGTAACATTGAGGGCCGTCCCACTCTATGCGGGTGAGACTGGGCAACATCGGTTTGAGGTGCCTTACTTCATCGCTGCCAGCGGAACATTGCTGGTGTCGGATGGCATTAGGGTAGCCACAAGGATAATGTTGGTAGGCGAGAACTAAGCGGTGCCAATCAGACTAATTCGTTGGAACAATAAATAACAATAAACAACCTGCGTTGCCTTGGGTCACTACTGCCGAAAAAAGCCATGTGCTGTTTGCAGAATGTAAGGTAATTCGAGGCTAGACGCGGGTAGAGGTTGACTTGGTAGCGGAGATGAAGACAATGACGACTTGACGATGTGTCATCGAACCATCGCCTTTTCCAGAGCGGTCCACGTGACCTGCCTTTTGTTTGGCTCGAGACGCTACAGGATATAGCTCGTAGTCGAAACCAGTAGCGCGTCTGCTGTCGTCTTCCAATCGGAGTGCCTGTTTACATTGAGTCGTGTTGCATCAAGCGCGGGGTGACTGCTGATTAGGAAGTGAAGCAGAGAAAGTTGCAGTGAAGCTATCTTGCTGATGCCGCTTTATCTTCGCGCGATGTCCGTGTCTTAATGACAAGATGCAGGAGTCTTGATCATGTACGTTTTCTTAGGGTACCTAGACTTCACATTCCTTCCGTTATTGTGTCTGTATGGTAGCGAGTCATCAGTTCAAATTACTGATGTACTGCCACTGCCAATGATGATGATTTCGAGGGTAAGTGAGACGCTGTTTCAAGTGTGTAACTATAGCTGGTGGGGAAAATATTAGAGAATAGGTGTAGTTGCCACTACCTGAAATTAGCGTTTTGTTTTGGAAAAGCTCCTGGTTGACTTGAACCCCTTGGTGCTGACTAAATGCCAGTGGTGGTGAGGACACAGTCAAAACATGTAGGGCAAAAGAGCGAAGTGTTAATCTTTAGATGGAAGAGATTGTCCTGTAGACAATTGAAAGCCTCATCAGTAAGCTCGACCGCACTGAGATGATAAACGGGATGAATTGGATGACCTATCTCAACGAACGCTCAAATATCAGGGAAAAGCACTTACCGTAATAAAAATATCAAGCAGTTCTTCAAATGCATACAAGCATGGGATTAATCGCTGTACTACCTTGCTGAATGCTTCAAAGATGGAATGGTCGTAGATCGTGGTCAGATGAAACCTAGAAGAAGGGGCAGAGTTAGAAACAGTTAAAATAATAGAGCATTCAATGCGTAAAAGACGTGCGCAAATGTCAATGCAGCAATGCGCTGTTAAAAAGGTAGTAAAACTTAAGGAAAATCCTTTGAAGTATCACATCTCTTGACTATCGGTTATAAAATGTGAGCCCAATTTCCTGCATCCTATCGTTGACGAAGCGGGGAATGATTTTGGAGCACCGTCTCTCCAATGACGAAAACTGCCAATGAACCGCGTCATTGTCTCCAACAACGGCTCACGACCACCACCGCATGCGCCATTTTGGACATGCTGACGAGAGCAAAGGTTCATCAACAAAAGTGTTAGCTGTGTAGAGGCGTGTCCAGTACCAAATGACCTCAACAATTTGCGGACAGAGATAGCCGGAGCTGAGAGGTGAATCCACGACGTGATGGTTGACGATTGATGTCTCTATCGTTAGATCATGAAGTTCCATGAGCAACGATTGGTTAGAAATCCATTGTTTCACTTAGAAAGACCAGTCACATTTGTTCAGCATGAGGCACACGAACGACATTTGAGACACCGACAGCGTATCCTAGCAGCATACCGAAGTTATGGAGGTGAAGTGTACAAAAAGAGAGTGCGCGCATTTTCTGAACAAAGTCCAATGGTCCCATGTAAAGGTATGTCGATCCAGAAGTTCAGGCATAAACCCGCAAGTGAGGATCATTGTACCTATTCGGGTTAGAGGAAACAACTGTTGGTAGCACTAAACTTTGATTACCCTAAATCTATAGTGCGCATGAACCTATGCTGAGCTGATAAAATGGCCCCGACTCTAGTCAACGTTAGGTATAATAAACCTGTGAATTCGAAACCGGTGTGCGCAGCTGTGCGCTGGTATCCAGTTAAACAGACTGGTCACTGTACGCCATGTGAAAGTGATTCTGAAATAGTAAATGCCAGGAAATGCGGAAGCAGTAATCCGAGATCTACACAAAGGCTACGCGTTAAGTCGTGCTCAACACAGTACGTGACGGCGCGAAAATTAGGACATTTCTGCTGAAAGATCTCACGCAATGTGATCGTTAAAAGACCAATTGTATTAGAGTACCAGACGAATTAAAAGTGATCTCTTACTGCTTAAACTGCGAAGAGGACTGGTAAAAACGGAAAACTTAAAAAGAGAGAACGCCAGTGAAGGTCTTCTGTGGGCCACTCATCTCTTAAGCAGGGAGGACCTCCATTTAGTCTTTATCCCAGTAGTATGGACCGCAATGTAGAGGCGAGCAGATCGGGCCCGGGCGTGTGAAATTGGTCTCATGGTGCCAAAGATCGGGAAGGTCCATACCAACAAAGTAAAAATAAGTTATTAGAGAGCAGTGTTCGTTACTCAGAAAGCCTGCAACAGCAGAAGAATGCGGCATATTGCGCGCATCGGTTGATGAGACGTGGTGCAAAACAGTTCTCCACAGGAGCAACATACGCGAGATAGACTGCATACTGCGGCGCCGACGACTTTCTTAGCTAGATCATGTCCGCCGAAAGGATGTAGCCAGTTTCGACGCATCCGCTACACGACCAATTGAATGTGAGGGAAAACAATGCATACCACCATCAGATGCGGCGGCATCACGATGTGATCAGGGTGTTTTCACGAACCTACGGCTTCGGTTGACGTGAACACAACAATAACATTGTCACGCAACTGCACGGAAGTGAAGCAGTGTGACGAGAACGAAAGCACCAGTGAAGAAAGCGATCGATACAAGCACGTCGCCATTATCCACCGTGTGTGTCTTTGGTAAGCCTACAAGCTTCAATATGTTTGGTACAAAGCGTGCGAGTGGGAGCTGTGAGTAATGCAGCGCAATTTAACCATGGCCTTCCTGTAAGCGCAACCATCCTGTGGATAACCAGTCATGTTAACAAGCAAATCTAAGAACATGCCGCTAAACACTAGTATTTCATATGTATGTAATGTATGAATGTAGAGTGCACGGTCGTTGTAGCCGTGCTAGGCTCGAAGACTGGTTCCATGCACTCAGTGTGGAGCGGACTAGGGTCAAGCCACCGCCTTGTGAGCGCTTGATTCCCAAATACAGCGTGTTTGTGTTCGCCTGTGAAGGAGTGTGGGTCGGCTCCGTTGATGAAACCTGCCTCCTATCCACATACCTCCCGGTCTTATTCCTTCGCGTTTACACTGGATATGGAGTGTGGTTGGAGCTGTGGATGGTGCAGCGCAAACCATCCATGGTCCCTCTGAAGGCGCAGGCGTCCTGTGGCTATTGCGGTGGAGGTCACAGTGACAGGCAAATCCGAAACCGGATGTCACCAACATTGAGGTGCCTCAACATCCCTGTTCTTTCTCGCTCACCTCGGACATGAGATGATCATAACCGGCTCTGGTTTTACCTTACGACACGGAGAGCCTGCAGTGGACATAATCGCAACATTTCCCTGCTAATTTGAAAAGTTGCTTACTCCATCTCCGTCATTTTCTTTGTGTCATCCGTATTCTATATCCCACATGTAAGTCGCGCTTGGGTACAATTTCATTCTAGAATGATTAACTATTGACTTGGTGCAATGTGATATCTTTATTGCACATGACTAGAACGGATGAGCCACAGCTAACCTAACTTTATCAGGCTTATTTAACTCGGTTGTATTTCGCGATGACTTCACATGTTGCCCATTGCAATGTTGTACTCATCATGATCTATGCTATACTATTCTTGCTACCTTTTCAAGTGGAGTCTAATATGGTGACATACCGAGACAATGAGCTACATTATCTTCTTCTTCGTATGATTATTATTCGGCCGTGATTCACATCACTACGAAAACTCCATGGTATTACTCACCAGGCTATGCTATCTACATTCTGCTCCTTAAAATCGATTTGGAGGTTACATAACCGTAGCTTGACCAGCTGCTCAAAGCTAAGTATCACGACGCTTAGAGAGCCGGTGCATCGCAGAATAATGGTTCAGTCCATCCATGAGCTCATTCGTAATTGACGTGCGCGCGGTGTTTCCGAACGAATTGTGTGCTTGATACGGATCAATGCTAGGGTGGCTTATTATTGTGTATGTTTCCAGTTCGATGGATACGTTTAACTCAAGAAGTTATCATCGCTTGGCCGCTTACAGTATGCATAAAGTGTCAAGTTTTACATTCAATGCTCAACGATTGTCCCTCGTGTGACGATATTAGACTATGCATTCGAAGAGAAATTTCCCTGGAAATTCTGTGACAACTGAACATTCCCGACAATTAACCGACTAGCGATTATCACGATGTCGACAATTCATGTTCCGCTCCGCAGGTCAGTAATGTGAGGGAGCATAGGTATAGTTCCATTTGTCCCTCAGCCAAACTGAATTTACCAGGGCTTATGAAAAACACGTACTAAACGGATGGAAGGCAGATGCACAGAGACGCCTACCAGAAGTTGCATTGCACATGTACAATCTTTTGGATGGACTAAGTAAAAGGTTGAACCTAACGGGAATGGTAGGTTAGTGTATTAGTTTATTACATCGGAAAGGAATCGACGCATAGCGACAGTCGTTTTATGAGCACTGAAGGGCTGCACCCGAAGTCGTACGATGCAGATCTTTATCAAATAGCGTATGGGCACAACAGAGTACACATGGGTACGTACAAAGGTTTGAATACTTGGACATTTGCAAAACCATCCGAACACTATTTGGAAAGTCGCATGTTTGACAGTGGGCAACGGGACTTAGTTGATATCACCTATAAATATCGAAGGTTGCGCATCAATCGTTCTTTGAGTAGGTGCATGTACCTCGGGCACCAGATTACCGGACCGGTCGGAGATACAGAGAGCCAGAAATGGACACTGCATCGCATTAGCATGCTATGTGATCTCCCCCATCAGCTCCGCAAAACAGACTGTACATGTAGACTGCAACACTTAAGTGCACACTATTTTACTGTACCACTATTTATCCTACTAACTAGCAGTTGCTTCACAATAGCTATATCGGGTTCCTTCAAATATGGATGCCCAAGATTTAAGTCGGTCACGTCTAAGTGTTGAAGAAAACATCAACAGTTCGTACTCGGGAACTTATTCTCATGCCTGCGAAAGTGATTGTTATCCTGACCTACAAACGAAACCCACACACGTTTGTCGTACCATTGATCATGAGGTCTAATGTGCCGCTACTCAGTTTGTGATAGCTCACTCTTCAAATTGGATATACGCATGTGCATACGTTGTATTCGAACTGCTACTGGATACGCATGACGTCAATCTATGTATATATGTATATCGAATGAATTCGACGAGGATACTCATATCGCTTTTGTACGGCTAACTTAGTGCAGGGAAATGGCACTCGGGCAAATCGAAAATAACATTACCAGAACATGAAAAAGTTAAGTTTATGACAAACTCATGTTGATTTCAGGTGTTGCGAATCCAAGGCGAATTTGATCGACGCGAACTCCGTAGACTGATCATAAGGGCAGTTGCTCAGGTGCAAGAGAAGGTACTATTGCACACGGAATAGAAGCATGATGCGTACGCTCCCATTCCAGGCCAATAAGCCGGCGTATGTGGTACGTTTGCTTGCGTGCTGAGTAACCTTGTATTTCAGAAGTAGATATTGTTTGAGCTCCCCAGTGTGGATGCGCTTGATGTGAATGTTGAAAAGATGCCTACCTGTCTATTACCCACTACCTCGTCCATACTGGCTCCAAGAGATAGTTAACTGTTGTTGTTGGGAAAAGGGTGCACCGTCCTCGTGACGGTGCCAGGCTCAGAGTGGTTCCATGCTGTGTGAAATGGGCTACGGTCAAGACACCGCCATGTGTATTTCTGGTGTGCATGATTTCCCAATTAGGCCGGAATACTTCTGTTCTGCTTGTTGAAGGAGTGTGGGCCGGCTCCATTGATGAAACCTGCCTCCCAGCCACATGCCTCCCGGTCTTATTCCTTCGGGTTTACACCGGATATGGGGTGTGTGGGTGGAACTGTGGGTAGTGCAGCGTAAGCCACCCATGGTCCCCTTTGTAGGCGCAGGCATCTTGTAGCTGTCCGCATGGAGGCCACAGTGACAGGCAAATCCGGATACGGATGCCGCCAAAACGGAGAGGTAGGTAGTGTTGTAACTATATTTGAAGCATTAAGTAGAAAAGTGGGTTTAATCGAGCAGAGGTCCGCGTGATAGTCAAATGCTCTCATCATGGAAAAACTGAGGGAAGAGTAAGTTAACCGTGGCTCGAAACACAGGCCGTTGACCATAAATCAGCTGAACACTGGTCTTTATTCAGCTGTATCCGGAATGCTAACTTTTGTTTCCCAATTAAGCAACTTTGAATTGCTTGATGATTACGGGAGAAACTCCTACAACCATTTCCCGCAATTGGCTGGCTTACCAAACAACGTCGTGGTGCCAACTGGGTGGTTCGGGTTAAGTCTGGACGAATCCGATCGTATCCCGCCCGAGATATGTGCGGATTCCCCAATAACGTCTCTTGCTCTACGCTGGCTTGTCGAACAACCTCCTCGTGGTGCCAGCTGGGTGTTTCGGATTTAACCCGTTCCAGCAAATAGTTCGGCGGCAGTGTTCCAGGACGTGGTAGGTCTTCGCCTGGCAAACGTTCTCCCTACAAAAAGTCACAAATGTCTGTTTAAAAACACTGCGACGTGGCGAATGTGACCCGCCACCAACTAAAGTCGTTGACCCTTGCTGCATTTTGATGCAGCATCATATTCCAGCAAAACGATGCTAGTTGGTAATCAAGCAAACCAAAAACGTGTGAACTGAGCAATCGGTCATCGGCTCCTAATGAGTGCGATTCCCTGAATACGCTCTGCTGCCTTGCGGGTAGGTTATTTAGCCAAAGGCTCCGGGTGGTGTCCCCTAAGTCAACACTCTACCTCGGCTTGTGCAACCGGGTAGTATCGTGCCCTCCGAAGAGAGCATTGATTTCTGTTGTGTTCGATTTTCCTTTTACAACAACTGTACCTTCCTTTGATTTTCATCGTTTTTGATGACCTATGTCTACTCGTAGACTGTTGCAAATATATACATACGGGAATTTTTGGCCAAATGTAGGATGATGAAGTGAACGAATCGTGAATTTCAGCTAAAACTATCTAAAAGTGTATGGTGGCCCTGACAGGAAAGGAGATACCGAACTTACCCGATGTTGAAACTCGACAAGGACTGATCACATGAGAGGTCCTCGACGGCACCCATTACTCGCTGAGTGATGTCGCGCTGTATGTCAATCTTCTGGTCGTCGTTAAGGCAATCCACCTTGTGAATAAAAACTTCAAACTTGATGTTCACATTATAGCGTGCCCCAGTTTCCAGAGTAGAATGTAGCCTCTTGAGCGCCTCGTGGTAGTCGTCCTGCGAGGAGTATTGTGTAAGGGATTATATGAAGTGAGATCAACGGTCTCTGTCCTGGGCTTTTTATGAAAAACAACAAGGTCGTGAACAAATAATAAATGAAGAAAAATGGTCAATCGCCAATCACTGTGGGACGTTTTGAATAACTGAGGGATGTCAAATGTTCAGGTTTGAGCTGAGGCGATTCAATTAAGAATATGAACGTTTCCACCTAGTCGCTTGACATAAGGGACATGACATACGAAAAGGGAGAAAAACAAACGTCACACAGAAGCTTGGGTGCAGTTGATCTACGTTAAGCTATGTTGGATGATGCCACAAGCACCCTGAAAGGTGAACATACCGGCTTGGTCGATGATCGAGGGTCGGACATACCTAGTCGGGTTGGGGATACAAATTGATGTGTCACCCATTCCTGTGAGAACACGTTAGCTAATAACCCACTACCAAGCTTCCTTTGCGTCGCAATCAGCTTTTGCAGCTAAAAGCTTTAATTGCGGATCTCCATCGTTCTTCTATCTAAGATTAGGCGTCACATCACACCAAGCGTAAAACCGGGATATATCACGACCCATCCTTGCAGTCTAGTGGTAACGACTATTCCAGTCGAAACGAGCAACAGTGTCCCCGCGAGTTTTACTCTCGAAATGAACGATCTCGTCGGATTTGTTTCCGCGCACAAGATTCGAGTGCTCACCATCAACGCACCCAAACCCGAAAAAGAATGACGGGCTTTCAGCAGAGTCCTTATATAACAAGAGTAATATAAAACGAAAAGTGTTGCATAACCGCGACTAGATACCGAGGCTGATGACATGTGAATTTCCACAGAATAGTCTGCGTAGGTTAAGGGAAAGCAAAGCTTAAACAAATGAGTTCACGTAATGCGGATGGGAAGAAGTCGGAATCAGTTAATTCACATAAATGCAGAGTAAGTGAATTTTCTCAGTGTAGAGGTGTGTCGGATTTTGAACCCGAATGAATGTGGGCCTCTGCGTCTCACGTGGTATCGGCTTGCGCCATCTTGTGGAGACGTGCGTTCCCCACAACATACTGATAGTTCGCCTGCATGCAATTGCAAGCGGCTGTGCCCGAGCTGGGATGCTACAGTGGAGCGCAAACACTGCAGGAGCGGGAACTCAAAATCTAAAAGTAGAGGTTACAAGCCAAAAGCCCTAACAACTACACGACAGATCCACAGCATCTAAAATGTTGTCCAAATTAGCACATTCCACTGGATTTCAAAGTAGGTGAGACTAAAGAAATTGTACATGAGGGATTCAACACGGGTGTCGCGGACCCGCGTCTTAGTTTTTATGTTTCGGTCATGAACGGACCTGAGGCCTTCACTCCAAACCATCCATAATAATAAACGTGGTGATGGTCAGGCGCATCACAACCACACGGGAGATTTAAGTGGTACACATTGAAACTCACCGTATGTGGACTCTGTCAGACAAACAGCACACGCCCGAAAAAGCAGTGGACAGTGGGTTCATCCTTTCGGGACCCATTCCAACGAGTCCGTGATAAAAATCGCTGAGACAGAGGGGGACAGTAACGAACGACAAGGTAGCTCACTCTTCACTGACTTGTACATTACTGCAATACGGAAGACAGGGTGGTCCCCGGTGGCTCTGATGTCTGACTCGTAATCCACGGGTGGTCGCCAGCTCGCGTCTGTGAGTGACCTCGCAGAATCCCTAGCCCACACGCGAGTTCTGGTGCTCGCGTGGCAGCAGTATCGGTAGGACGTACCGGTGTACTGATGACGCCTCTCTCCTTGAGTAGGTATCAAATATATGGTTTCCGCTTTATTCCTTTAAATTACAAAACCAAATAAGGTCGATGAGGATTCTACTGGTAGTGATCATTACTGAGGACGCATTTGGAACGGGTATAGTTCTTAGGTAATTAGTTAGCCATATCAGTATATGCATACACGGCGATGAGATCGCGAATAAGACGACCGTAGCTTGAGAGACCTCTCCTTCGGCAGTGGAAACGCGACATTATTTTCATCTTGCAGTGTATGGTATACGATGCCGACATTCGGCCAACTAAGTTGCATAACTGTATAGCATGATCATTTCCAGCAACATACATAGCTTAGTTGTAGTAAACTACCGGATCTAGTAGTCGGAAGAGTGAAAAAACGAATGAATGCCGCGGCATGCCAACTGCTGACTCTAAACTGATTTGAGATAAGAGCTTGAAGACCGGCACCAATCGTGTGCTACCCATGTCAACAGATTACTGTCAGGGTAAACTAACCAGGTGACACGAATCACATCGATAATCAAGGATTAGGGTTGGCGCCAGGAGCCGCAGATTCCTTGGTACAAAAGCAATTCGGATAGACGGGTAAGACGACCTCCTACTCCCCGTCATAATCACTTCCCCCTGCTTCGCCTCGCTGGACGCTGTATTACTGGGAGTATTGGATTCCTGTTTGGCAGCCCGCCAAATGAAAGGCGTATGAACCAAGAAATCGGTCACCAGCTCCCCTGAATTCGCCCCGCTGCCTTGCGGGTCAGGTCTCTATGATCAAAGGCTCCGGGTGGGGTCCCCTAAATCAACTCCCTTCCCTCAGCCTGAGCAACCGAGAAGCTGTATGCCCACACAACACATAAAATGATAGATTTACGACTCTCTTCTCCCGAGGTGCTGACGACCGGGCATGCTAAAGTTCAGTCTACCGCGCCACAAACTACCTTGTTCGTTCCACGTTTATTCAACCCTCCTGTTCCTGGCAACCCCCCTACCATTTCGAGTCTCCAAGTGCATTGCAAATAAAACGGTACCTTAAGGCGCAACAATGAACCAGTCAAAATCGACCGCACACCATCCTATTGCAACAACAAGGCTTTTGTTACACCGCGCTCGCTCTTCAGGCTAGCTACGTTCAATGTTCGAACGCTTATGCAAGTTGGATCACGAGCTGCTTTTGCGCGTACATTGGAAACCCTATCCACCGAAGTTCGGTGCTTAACCGAAACCCGTTTACAGGACTCCAGCACAACGCTGCGATTGCTCTCACCATCCTCTAGTTCCGATTGCATATTCGCCTTGCGCCTATCTAGAGATGCGACAGCGGCAGCTTCTGGTTGCGCCGGCGTAGAAGTTGCCTTAAGCGTGTGTGCTGAGGTAGCGCTCACTCACTGGTTCACGATCAACAGCCGTATTTGTGCAGTCCGTTTGGAAAGTTCAGTGCCATCTTCCAGCCACGGGACCAATCGGCGCTGCTTATTCATTGTGGCGGCTTACGCTCCAACGGACTGCAACCCGGATGAAGCTAAAGACGAGTTCTACCGTCAACTCACCGACCGTTTCCGCAAGAAACGCCGCACGGACATCGTGGTACTCGCCAGAGACATTGCGCAGGTACCTAAACTAAAAGTTCATGAGCACGAAATTTGGGGTCAACACAGCCATGGTACTAGCAGGACGGACAACGGCGATCGACTCCTCCAACTGTACATCGACCACGGCTTGTTCCTTACGAGCACAAATTTCGGGCCTTCCTGGCGCCAACAAGCTACCTGGCGACCTCCGGCGCCTGATCAAGCTTGGACACAGGTTGACCACATCGCTGTTAGTTACCGTTGGCGAGACTGCGTAACGGACTGCAAGTAAATTTGGAACGCTTACTTGACTTCGGGTCATGCGCATGTGTGTGCTAAGGTCGTTCCGCGCTTTGGATGCACTGAACAGTGTCGCCAGAAACGGCTTGACCCAGACTAGCTCGCGTCCCAAATGTTCTCGGTACGCTTCAGAACACATCAGGACCCAGCCTGCGTTCTCTATCCTCCGATGTTGAGACACACCGGGCACAGATTCAGAGTGCCTTACGAAAGTCCGTTACCTTGATCTCTGGCTTCAGTAGACGAGCTGTTAGTTTTTGGATCTATGCAGTCTCTCCAATTAATGGAAAGCCTTCGAACAATTTCCGCATTACGCAAAGCCACAGGTACTGAGGTCAGACAGCTTCTCAGAAAGTATCGCAAAGTATGGTGGACACAATGCGTCGTCGAGATGGAACGGGCAACCTCGTCAGAAAACTCCCGCAAACTCTTCCACTTATTCAATCCACGAGACAGAAGGCCAACAGTGAGGTTTTGCGTGAAAATGACAGCGAACTAATTCACAGTCGTCACCGTCGTCTCTTATGATGGCAAAACACTTTGAGGATCAGTTCAACTGGCCACGAGCACAACTGAGTCCATCTTCCAGAATGCACAGTGCTTCCTGGTGCGTGAATGTTTCTCCACCGACTGAAGTTGAGGTTTCATATGAGCTTCGCCTACTAAAGCGCCAGAAGTCACCTGGTCCAGATGAACTTCCTACTGTCCTCTTCGAATATGGGGGTTCTGCTCTCACCCGAGAACCGACATCTTTCTTTCATCAGATTCTGACTACTGAAACCATCCCATCTGACTGAAAATTAGCGGATGTTGTACCAGTCTACAAAAAAGGAGACCTGACCGTTTGCTCCAACAATCGTGGCATCAGTCCCATTCGTGTCGCATCCAAACTGCTCGCCGCCCTTCTCTTTCGGTGGCTCAGTTGCATAGGTGAACAAGACTTGCGTGAACAGCAAGCTGGATTTCTCCTGAGTCATAGTTGCATCGATCACATCTTTACGATCCGCCAAATACTTGAACATCACCATACGTTCAGTCGATCAGCCGAAGTGACATTTTTGAACATTCGAGCCGCGTTTGACTTATCAAAGTGCAGTGTTGCTGCAGGACCACCAGCCACTTGATGACCCCTTGACGCTTGCTAACGAGGAAATCGATGTGGTTGATCAATCCACTTATCTTGGCAACTGCATCATCAACGATGAGCGCATAGAAACTGACGTCAGTTCACGCACTGCAAAGGCCCGAGCTGCCTTCTTGAACCTGCGGCATCTTTGGCGACACAAGGGAATTTCTCCCCGTCTGAAAGGCCGTGTATACAAGGTGACAGTGAGGGCCGTTCTGCTCTATGGTAGTGAAACTCGGCCCCCTCGGTCTGAAGAACTGAGGCGCCTTCAAGTCTTTGATCATCGTTGTCTGCGAAGCATTACTGGTGTCGGATGGCACCAGCGTGTCCACAACGATGATGTGCGTAGACGAGTACTAGGTAGTGATAGTCATGTTAGCTCCCTAGAACAACAGATAGTACTGAATAAGTTGCGTTGGCTCGGGCACGTGTTACGCATGCCTGGTCACCGCTTACCTAGGAGGGCCTTGTTCAGTCTACAAGGTGTAGGGTGCCGCAAGGCTCGAGGCGGACAGAAGTTGACTTGGCAGCGGGAAATGAAGTCACTGACGACCAAACTGGGTGCCGTTGGTCCGTCTCGCCTTCCGGGCTTGAGTCCACGTGACTCGCTTTGTGCTCGGCTCGAGACTTTACAGGACATGGCTCGCAACCGACACCAGTGGCACGTCTGCTGTCGACTCCTAATCCGATTGCCTGCTTAAAATGTGTTTGGTGCTGAGTTATCTGCGGGGTAATGGCTGATTATGACGCGAGGCAGTGAAAGCAGTGAAAGCCGCAAGGAAGCTGTTTCGCCGATGTCGCCTTATCTTTGCACGACAACCAGCTGTTTGTGACGGTATGTTGTATACTCAAGGTGTAGGCGCCTTGACCCTGAATGTTTGCTTAGGGCATTAAGGTTTTAGGTAAGTCCCTCTTCTCTCCCACCTCTTATTCTTTATTTCACAGGTCCGCATGGTTGTATGGCAGTGAAGCATATATATATATATATGTATACATATATATACATATATATATATATATATATATATATATATATATATATATATATATATATATATATATATAGTGCGCTGAAGCTGGTGGTGGCTAGATCATGACAGATGGTCTACCCACCGCTGCTACTGTTGTCACCATCATCAACAGCAGTATGTCAGCCATCATCATCACGTGCTAGATAACCAAGGGGACCGCGTCAAGGTTACAGTGTTTCAAGTTAATTAGATTTATTTTTTCCTGTAGACAAATTTCCTACCTCAGTTTGTGACAAGTGAAGTACATAAAGGAGGGTATGTGAGTGAAATTCATGCGTGTTACTCGAAAGTTTGATGAAGCGGCTGAGGAAACCAAACGTCCAACTTGACTCATTTCGGCCAGATTGAGATCGAAAAATACAAACCAAGAGGATAAATCAGATACCAACATGCCACTTGCGTGGAATGTTGGAGTACGCTGTCCGCATGAGTATATTCGGCTGTATGGTTTCGCTTGAATCCAAATGCACTATCGTCGGCTACTTGGAAAGTCAGGAATTCAAAGCAAACCCATAAACCGGATCTACGGGGCATTGGTAGTACGCCAACACACTGTATTGACACTTCGCTGTCATGTGACCACCAACAGTCACACATAGATTGCGTATAACGAGAGGTCGTCCGAACCTACGTGAATTTGAGTCGGTGACCTCCGGATTAGGAAGCGAACACGTAATATATTCGGCTACCCCCCGTACTACACATTTGGTATGTGACAGATAAGCGCAGCCAACTTGGCAGGCTACGTGATTGATCCGACGTATGGCATACAACCCAAAAAGAAAAATGAGTGAAAAATGGGTTGATTTGAATCAGTCACCGATTCTAAAAGGTCCAATCAATGCGTTAATGCATACTGAAATTGGCATTCGCAGCCAACTGACAGAATAGAACATTCAGCGTACGTGTTTGTGCAGTGCGTCAGGAGTAAACTACAATGAGAATTGTTTACATTGGTGTAGTTACGTTCGAAGATACGCAAAGCACTAAACTGAACCCGTATCACCTGGTCATGCTTTATAGAGAGCAGTGGGTGCACGTTCAACATGCAGCAACTGATCTATGCCTCCATACAAGCTACTTTAACCGGAAAGGAGGTTAAGATGCTTCTGAGGGCCCAACAGTAAAGCAAGTCTGACCCAGGTCGTGCGCAGCTGGTGTCGTTTGTAGTGCAGAGTTGAACTTTGAATCCTAGTCAAAATATTGATGCAGTGGGAGATAGGCTGATAAGTATCCTTTTAAATAAGAGCAATGAATTCACCGATAACTTTAAGGGGAGAAGCCTTGAGTCTAGGGCTGTATGCGCTCTCGCTTAGATACTAGAATGAAAAAGCATGTTTATAAATATGGCGGGATAACATGTAGGTAATAGTATTTACTGCTATAAGAGATTAATGGAAACCGAGAGATTACGACACCCAATCCATTTGTCGGAGGCAATAAAGAAGACTCGGTATCAGCGGAATGCAAAATAATTCTAAGCCCAGACTTTCGTCACTCATTTGAAGATTATGCGCACTTATGTGATTGCAACATAACAGTCATTAAAGTTCCCATAAGACGCATCTGATTACCAATATTTTTCTGTTAAGTATAGAATGCAAACCTGAGCATCGATGACAAAAATGACTGCACAGGAGGAAAGAAAAAGAGCCTCGGATTGATACATGGCATCACAAAAGTCGATGTGCCCAGGGCAATCCCATATTTGAAACTTGATGAATGAGCAGTCAGAAACGTCTAAAATTGTGGGGGTTAAATGCATGCCATAGTTAGCTACCATTCTTTTCTATCTTGTGTGTACTCTCCAAGAAAAGAGTTTCCGTTGGGGTTAATTTGTGGAAAACCACTTTTTGAATGGACGATTTGCCACTCCTAACAGAACATAAGATTGCTGAAACCAAATAACCTCACTTTCGGAGCCCCATTAGCAAAATCTTTGGCTTTTCGTCAATTTGATTCACGAATCCATGAGAGCCCATGGGGAATGGGGGTTCTTGATCAACATCAAACCCGAAATTCCCGGGATAAATTGGAGTATAGCTAGCGATGTCCGAATAAAGTTGATTGTGCTGATTCATTGCTCAAGGCAAAGTTTGGAAGAGCAGAGTATGGGCTGTTCTTAAGTGAGAGTAGAAAAAACACTCATGGAAATGGAAATTAAATGCAGCTTTTGCACAATATTTGGTGCACGAAAGAGAGGCAGACAACCAATTCTTCCATTGGGTTCGAGCTGAAAAATAAAAACACATCAGTTTGCTAGGGTCACTGATAACGGTCCGTAATCGAGTTAGAAGCAGGCAGGGGGAAAAGACCAAAAATAGGATAAAGAACTGATTGGACAGCTTCTGCAGTCAAACAGCGCTAGGTTAACAGAAAAGAGTTCGGTTAGGGCTGTACCGATGACAGTGAAAATTGCGGGTGTAATGCTGATACTTTTCTAAGGCTCATGGTGTACTGGGTCGGGTGTTTGACTAACAGCTACTATTCCCCGAGTTCGAATTTCGGCCTTCGCAGTATCTCACCCCGTGTACGACCGTTTACAGTTGCATTACAGCGAAGCACCTGTGTGAATTAATGGTTTGCTGATGATATGCAATTTCAACAGTGAGGAGTATATGTCATCCTGCGACTCCACATGTACATGCTAAAACTGAACTAATCGTAAGGCAAAAAGCATGTTTCGGTCATGTGTCGGTGACGGAGGGAGAACAAGGATCCAACCGGAGGAAAAACCTATAATGGTTTATATATATATATATATATATATATATATATATATATATATATGGGTGACTGTGCCACAACGTATGGACAAAAATAATACTACAATAATGAAAGAATAGTGGTGGATAAAAAAGGAGTATGGAACAGCAGTTATGGGGGCAGAGTCTCACAATAGGTTGCCACTGCTCACGGTTTCTTGGCATGTCCGACAAGGTTCCCAGGCATGTGTGCTCGTGATCATTGCGTTCCCAACCGGGGAGTCGACAGCACCCGGCCGCAGCCAAAGGTGGGGTCAGCGCCTCTATACTTTTGGTCAAAGTCATACGCTGACTACCTTGCTTTTTCGCTTCCAGCCGAATTCTGCGCGCGCGAAGAGGGCACGGCGAGGTAAACGATGAGCAGGCATGCGAAGCACGTGCCCAAGCCACCGAAACCTGTGCAGAGAAATTATACGGCTCGGTGACCGATAAAGTTTATCTGATCGGGAAATCCTTCGGCGAACGTCTTCATTATTAATGTGATTTTGCCACCGCACGCCAGCAATGCTCCGGAGGCAGCGATGATCAATGACAGAGCCACTAAACGTCTTTTGCACGAACAGTGCAATTCTCACAACCGTAGAGAAGGACCGCTCTCAGTGTGGCATTGTAGACTCGGCCTTTTAAGGATAGACTCAGGTCTTGCCGGCGCCAGAGATAGCGGAGATTAGCAAACGCAACCGTGGCTTTAGAGACGCGCAAAGAGACCCAATCCGTTAAACCGTTAGCGCTGATGCAGCTTCCGAGGTAAACGAACTTGTCCACTACTTCCAGAGAGTGACCTGAAAGGGCAACGGGTGGAAGTAGCTGCTAACCAGTCCTGCAGGAAGACCTTACAGTTCGATGGGATAAAGATCATTCCAAACTAGGAAACAGACACTTCCGACCTACTTAGAACATCTCAGGCGGCCTGTGAGGAGTCGCAAAATACAGCGATGTCGTCTGCATACTCCAAAAGCCGGAGACGGTCCACCGGAATCAGCTCGACGCCGCTGGGTTCGCAGTTGTCCAGAGCACTCTCCAGGATATCGTCCACAGCGAAGTTGAACAAGAAGGGGATGCTGGGCAGCCCTGCCTCAGCCCAATGGTGAAAATAAAGGGGAAGGCGAATGTTCGGCGTACATCTACACTCGGCCCCAGAGTAGATGGCTTGAAGAATGGTGACATACTTCTCGGACACTTCCCTTCTTAGTAGTTAACTCCGGAGAGCAACTCGGCCAACTGCAACAAAAACGGCTCGTATGTCTAAGACGCGGAAGTGAGGCGACCACTGGTCGGTTCGGCGGAGCTGTACACCACCAGGCGCGTCTCCAGGTTGCGGATCGGGGAACGCCTTCCTTGCGAAGATAACTGTGGACAAGTCTCAGCTGTTCGCAGGCGAGATGAATAAGCAGCTGTGGACAATCAGCGGCAGCGTCCTTGAGCGTGGAGCGTTCTGGGAATGTCAAGTGGTTCCTCATTAAATACCACAGGTGCTCGTAAGGCGCTGTGTCAAAGCCAATGTGACCGACTATAGGGTCACTGACCACTCACTTTTGGTCACAGAAGTGAGTACTTAACGGAGGGCGGATGAACAACCTCGATGGCCACCGGCTTTCATGAAAGCGTATGAGCCACGCGGCTATCAATGGCCTTCATGCTTCGCGGCGAGTTCGGTAGTCCAGGCCTTCTTGCAACACTCGGGCCCTTTGGGCGCTCTGAGTAGTGTGCCTCTGCTCGAAAACCGTTTTCTCTTCAACGAGATAGCCGGCTCCTAACGGTTCGTGGTATACGTCAATCGCCCCGCTGCTTTGCAAGTTTTGTCTTACATGACCCAAAGCTCCGGGTGGGGTCTCCTAAGTCAAACCTCATTGTCGACCTGAGGAACCAAAAAGCACCATTCCCACACAACCTATGGATCCAGGTATCAACAATTCTTCGCTCAGTCTCTCTCCACTCTCGCCTATCTGCTCTCACTCTCTCGAACTGCTCTTCTCGGCAGTGGTGCTAGCGGCTGATACGGCCAAACCACATTTTACCGCATCGTGGTTTAATCACTTTATTCCACATTCGTTCAACCTCCCATTCTTGGTCTTATCCTCCGTTTCCGAGTTCACAACACCATGCCGCCTTGGGAGAACGTCCTCGCCATACGGCGAACTTATTGTGACTCTCTATTCCCATGAACACTGGCTTATTTTCCCCACTCCTTTTGTTCTTGGTATTTCTCATACGTTGTGGCACTATACCAATTGTACTATTGGCCGTATGTCTAAGAAGACAGCGATCGTTGTTCGGCCAAATCTTTGACGGCGTGTGAGTATTTGGTGGAGTGTAAAAATGTGATCATTGCAACTCCAACCAGAGCGGAACCCAGATTGCTCTTCACGTATGCTCTGTAGGCGTACCAAGCTGAGCCTCCCTAAAAGCAGGGCGGCGAGCACTTCAGAGGAGACTAATCCCTCGGTAGTTAGTACAGTCTGACCAGGTACCCTTTTTAGGTACTGGCACGATATCCGCTAGACTCCAATCTGACAGGATTGCTTCGGTGATCCGAATCATTTGGAGGAAGTTAGCTCTCGGACAAGTGATGGACCTCCATCTTTGGAAAGAGCCGAAAGGAGTTCATCTGGGCCAGAGGCTTTTATCACTTTAGGAGACGAAGATCATTGGCAACCTTAACCTCAGATGGTGGTGAAGCGTCTACACACCAGGGAGCATTCTGGGTTTCTGAACAGGAACACACTGGTGCTAGTGGTCAGTTAAACTGATGCTCAAAGTTCTCGGGCCAGCGCGCAAGTAGGTGTTTTTGGCAGTGGATTGGCTCGCTATTAGTTTCGCGTAAAACTTCGTTTACAGTCATCATTTTACCGTCAGTGGATTGGATAAGGTAGAAAAGCTTTCGGAAATTCCCTGAGAAGGCTGGCTGCTCCATTTTAATGACCAGTTGTGTCCACCAGGCCCAGCAATCCTCCCGAAGGAGCTGTTTGGGTTCAGCGTTAGTGGTCCTGCGTGGTTCATGATACTCAACGCCAGTTGAAATTGCCCGACAAGCTTCGAGAAGTTGGAGAGAACGTGCAGAGATCCCGTGATAGACAGGACTACTAGTAAAACCACAGATCAGGGTTGCAGAGATGTACATGGCGCTGCGGATATGTGCCTAATGCGTTCCAATGTCAGAGCATGAGGCACATTTGCGATGTAAGGCCAACGCATCTTGAAACCGGCTGAGAACGCTTGAAACAGAAAGTTTAGCCGCATGAAGCTGTTTCCGGCGACGTCGTTGGGAGCCTAAAGCGATCTTCGCACACACGATCGCATGATCCGGAGTGAGGTGAGTACTCCAGATTGATTTGCAATCCTGTACGCAGACCTGTCAGCGACAACTGATGGCGATGTGGTCAAGTTACGCCCATGGCTGGCCAGGAGACAGAGGACTCCAGGAAGAAGCCGTGATCGGCTCTGAGTTGTAGTAGGCAATCACCGTTGTTTGTTCTGTGAGTGCCGTGGCCATGGTGACCACCGAATTCACGCTCTTCTGCGAGTTTAAGTTCCCTGCAGGCACCACGATATCTGTACGGCGCTTTTTCAGATAGTGTCGGTCAGTTGACATTAAAACTCGTCTTTAACTATTTGTGTCCTGGCGGAACTTATAAGTACCACGTTGTTTAAATTGTAGTACTGCTTCAGAGCAAGCGTCATTCTTGACGGTACTCGCGAGGATACGTACAATAGCCTTCTGTCAACAAGTAAGCAAGGGCGAGAACTCTGATACTTTACTCTACAGTGTGTGGAGTAAACTGTGGTTCATGTCAAGCTATAGGTAAATTAATTCAGGACTCAAAGGGGTGATTGACTCCGGGCTGCAGTCTGTGGGATGGTATGCTGCTATGACGAACAAGCAGTGTCTGCTAGTCAGGCGACGGGAAAGTCGCACTGAGGTTTCAATCGGATCGCTCAGAATCGACTGTTGACAGGGATCCAGTCTAGTAGCGCAGCCTCAGCACGTGTGCTCAGCACAATCCCCACACCGGCAAGACCAGCGGCTTCGGCGGTTGCGTCTCCAGATAAGCGCAAAGTAAAAAAGCCAGCGGAACTCGCAGACAGTGAAGCCAGCCGTAGCGTCGTGCAGGGGTCCTGTAATCGGATTTCAATGGGGCAGTAGACATCGACGCCAGTAGCCTCCAGCGTGCGAGCAAGGGTTGTTTGTGATCCGATCTGCATCAGTGTATGAACCCTGAAGGTCGTCAGCTTGAATTGGGAACCGGGTGCTAAAAAAAGCTTGGCAGTACTACTTGGCGGCGCGCGCTTGGACCTAAATTCTTGAACCATGTGGC